GATTCATGAATCCATTACTCATTCGGTGTTATCACCTTATTATTCTCATTTGCCCTAGCTTTTAATCCACTTCCTGCCTCTGGTCTTCCTTTATCTTTTAAGGAGACCACTTTTACATAGCCTAACCACCGCACTTACACATGGGCCAAGCACTTATGGCCCATGAACGGATCACATCCATTCAACGCACCACTTACACATACATAATTGATCCATATCAATTCAAAACTTGTAAAACCCATATCAATTTAGATTAACACATGACCAACCCATCAATGGATCAAATTATCCAATAATTTTATCTTGCCATATGGGCTAAACTACAAAACAGTTCAACCCATATAGTAGTCCATGCTAGGTTTTCAAGTATGGGTCGAATTGGTCCATGCAATGGGCCACCAAACCCCTGGCCTAAAATTGATTTTGGGTCACTTAAAACAATGACCCAAGGGTTGTGACCAGACCCCAAAGAACCATAGTTTCAGCCCAACAAGATAGGACCAATACTAGGTCAGATCGACATAGGGTTTGGTGTCCAAAACATGCATCAATTCACATAGGTAATGATTTATAATTCTCAATTATGATTCACAATAATATCAGCAAATAAATAGAAAATAATCAAAAATAAATGGCTAGGGCTAATAGTGTGATGGTCTGAATCCAATCCGAACAAAACTGCATCCCTACGAAACTACAATCTACAGATCAATCTCCATCTGCAATCTCTGTCTTCTCTACAAGCTCCAACGATTTTTACAATGTAAAAAAAATAGATAAGACCTATTTTCTATTGTTTACATAAGAAAAAACATAATACATTCTTTCTAGAAAAGAAAAAAAATTACAGACCACATAATCAAATTAATCAATTCGGTGTATACAAAACTTTCCACCATCAAGAGTTTAATCTCCATCACATTTTCAGCCCAAGATTTCAAAAATCCATAATAGAACAATTTTATAATATATCAATATATATATATATATATATATATATATATATATATATATATATTGATCAAATCGACTAAACTAGTTATTGCCGATTTGAGTTTTAGTTCAAATCTGGTTTGGTTCAGTCCAAGGGTTACACCTAATTTCGTTTTTTTAACTATTTAAAATCTAATTATGTTTAATATTCTATTATTTGAAATATTTATGTATTTAAATATTTAAACGATATATAAAATATTTAAATTTTTTGTTATTTGAATTTTATTTATTTTAATTTTGTTATGTAATTATTTTGTTATTTTTAATGTTTTTTATCTAAGATATTTAGTTATTGAAATATTTAAATAAAATTTTATTTTTTAATGTTAAATTTTTATTATTTGAATAACATTAAATAGAATAATTGGGAAATCATAATTTATATTGTTAGTACATAATTTCATGATAAATTTTGTAAAAATACAAAATAATTAATAATTTGTCTATTGTTAAATATATTATAATTATTACTTGTGTTTTTAATAAATATTTTAATGTTATTATGTAACTTAGTTAGAACATTTAAATAATTTATAATTTTTTAATTCAAAGTTTCTTTAGTGGGAGAGGATAAATAGGAATTAGAGATAATTTACGAGAAAGTRGAGGATAGCGGGGGGAGGTAGTTTAGAAGAAATTTTAGGAGAGGATATTATTTACATTATTGGGAATGTGTGGAGTGAGAGAGAGAGAGAGATTTTAGGTAATTTTTTATGGGAAGAAAGAGCATCTCATTAGTTGTTTCAAAAGTGACATGGAATAAAAAATCAAAAAAGGAGAAAATTTATAAACTATAGTCTTTTAATATATACTAACAGGGACTCGTGTAATGCACGAGAGTTGTTAAGTTAAAGATAAACAATAGAAACATGTAAGAGTATACAATTGTTTTATATAATAATTAATAATCACTTATATTTTATATACTACTTTTGATAATTTCTTTACAATACAAAAATAACAATAATTAATGTTAGATAGGGTTGTTTATCAAACTTACGGATGTAAATTTTCCCCATTTCCCTGATCCCCGTGGGGATCCGCCCCAAATGGCGGGGACAGGGAGAGCACTCCCTACCCCGCGGGGACCTCGATCCCTACCCCATGGGGATCCCCACTAATATATATGTATATATACGGTATGTAGGTTTATATGTTAATATTTTTAAAAATATGGTTGAATATGTTTAAATATTTTCTAATAGGATTGTAAATTTTAATTATTTTATTTTTATTTTTATTATTTTAAATAAAATAAAAAACAAAAACATAATGGCTGACATTATAAAGAATCACAGGGAGTGGGGATCCCCATGGAGACGGGGATGGGGACGGGGACGGGAATAGGGATTTTTGTGGGCATGGGGATGAAGAGAGGCTCCTTGTCCCCGCCCCGCCCCATTGCCATTCCTAATCAAACTAATGAAACTAACCAACTCGATTTCTTGTATTTCCAGTTAGCTTTGGTTCAATAATTTCCCAACTTGACTAGGTCGGATCAGTTTTGCTTTAGTCATTTGTAAACTAGCTAAAATCAAATGACCTGACCATATATTTATATTAATATTTTATATTTTAAATATATATTTTAATACAGGAAAGTGGGAAATTTCCAATATTTCTTGGGCTAAAATATTTTATATCATAAATTTAACTTTTAAATTTATTTTTTTAATAAAGCCATTGTAATTTTTTAATATTTAAACTTAATTTTTAAATTTAACTTTTTAAGTTTAAATCTTTTGAACCAACCAACCAAACCGAAAATTGACCCAAACCGATATAACTTAAGTGACCAACTCCCCAACCTGTCCAGGTTAATTTGGTTGGCCAAACAACCTACAATTGAACCGAACCAACTCGTGAACAATAGTTTAATCTCCAATAATTATTAAAAATTTATAGCGAAAATACACAATAAATTAAATTTAAAAAGCTAAATAACATTAGTTTAAACTCCAATAATTATTGAAAATTTTCTATTAAATAACAAAACAAAAATAGATTTATACATAATTATTGAAAATATATTTATCACAAAAAACAAAAAATAATTACTTAAATACAATAAATATTAATTTTAGTATATATAAATATATAATAAATATAGATTAAGTTTTTAAAAGTATTATTAATAAACATTAATTTTTTGAAAGTTATTTTCTAGAATTATTAAATGGTATAAATGAAATTAGTTATTTACAATATTACTTATTTATTGAAATAATATCATTATTTAAATTTTAAAATATTAATTACTTGTTGAATTTAATAATCCATAAAAGTATAATACTATTAATACATAATTTTCTTATTTCAACTATTTAAAATCTAGTTATTTTAAATATTTTATTTTTTAAAATATATAGTTATTTAACTAAATATTTAAAATCTTAATCTATTTATTATAATTGGAATTTATTTAGTAAGTATTTAAAATATTTTATTAATTGATTTAAAATATTAATTTTAATATTTTTTTATTTAAGATATTTAGTTATTGAAATATTTAAATAATATTTCATTTTTTAATATTAGATTTTTATTATTTGAATAAAATTTAGGTTGAATAATTCAGAAATACAATTTTGTTAGAATATTTAAATAATTCTTAAATTTTTTAATCCAAACTTTCTTTAGATAGATGTAGATAAAAAGTGGATGAGAAGATAAATAAGAATTAGAGATAAGTTAGGAAAGAAACTCCCTACATCATTAGAGATAACTTAGGAGAAAGTTGGGGATAATGGAGAAGGTTGTTTAGGAGAAATTTTAGGATATTAGATTATTTAGGTTATTGTAGCATGTGGGGGAGAGAGAGAGATTCTAAAATCTAAACCATCATTTTAAATATAGTTATTGGAGCGTGTGCAACCATCATTTTAGAGGTTGCTGTTTTTTGATAATTAAGGGTAATTTTTTAATTTCTGGTTTCGAATCTGAAACCAAAAGTATGTTCTTGATTTATGATTTTAGAAATATGTTATCATCTGTTTAGTATCATATTATATAAATCATAGAATTTTTGCACTACAAAATTTACTTTTGTTTTAAAAACCATTAAATTGATGGTTTCAAAAATGTTTTTTTTTTTGAAAGAATGCCAACTTATTTTTATCTTTAAAAAACAAAAAACAAGGTTCAAGACTATGTTTTCGTTTTCTTTCACTGATTTGTCGATTTTAAAAACAAACGAAAACAAAACATTCATATTGTTGAATGCCTCCTAAAACATCACATTAAGTTAATAATAAAAAATTACATACTTTTCCAACTTCCAACCACTTGGGTGAGTGGGGAGGGCCACCACTGTATGAATAGCCACAGCTTTCATATTTTGAGCAAATATATATATAGTCGCACCCTGCAAAAATCTATGATACGGGGAAAACATGGTATCGGAAGAGTTTTGACCAATCAAAACCCATCCATTAATTTTGATAAATAACACCTGATTGGTTATATAATAACAGTTGATTGGTGAAAGTTTTTCTTGGATATCACATTTTTCCGATATCATAGTCGAACCCTTTTTTCATTTTATGTTTTGATTCTCTAACAATGTTTGACCTGTATCTGTCCACAGACCCCACACAGTAGGTCTCCTGTGCGGTCATCGAAAGTCATAGCATGGATATAGCAGAATCCACATTTAGGAGAAACCATCCGTAATGCTCCAAGGTTTATAAGCATTAATTGGGTGTTTGAATGCGATCGAATGCGAAATCATGTAGCTAGCGCCAGTTGTAAAAACCCCTTCCAGAATAGTCACTTCCAGTCCTCTCAAAGCCAAATAGAAAGGGAAATGAGTTCATTTCTTAAAAGCTAAAATCTTGGAATAAACTCATTTTATCTTTTACAGGACAACCAGAAATTGCTCCATGTTGGATGGCGAATTATTCCTCCAAGCCAATGAAAATAGCAATGGAGGAAGCATAATTTGGTTCCCCTCCAGACCACTAGAGAAATCAACATTTTTAGATGGCTCAGAAAAACCTTCAACAAGCAGCAACTCCTACTAGTATCAATAGAAAAATAGAACGGCTTGTTTCAGCTTAACGATAACGAGTTCAAATCAATGGCATTCACTGAAGTTCCCCTACAGGAACTGAACAATAAGACCCATAGTCAAATAATCAATGAGAAAATGAGAATATTACCCCAATCTTAGATTCTAGTGTGGTGGTGGGGAATGACATAGAACTAACTCAATGTTATGCAGTTTTATTAATAGACTTCAACATGCCATTGCTTATTCTTTTTGAGTTGTGGGAGCTTCTCTTCCCAAATCTCCCCTCTTTCTTCTGCAACCCTCTTCAATGTCTCCTGTATCCCAGGCATCATTCCCTTCAGCCCACAGAAGTAGATATGAGCCCCTTTATCCAAGAGCTTAAAGATCTCGTCACTGTACTCCTCAATCTTATCCTGAACATACATTTTGCCCCCACGTTTGTTCTTCTGCTCCCTGCTTAGGGCCAGATCATACCGGAAATGATCGGGGTAGTCTTGAAGGTACATTCTGAATTCATCATCATAGAGGAGGCTATCAGTGTTAGCTACCCCAAGGAAAAGCCATGCAAGGCCACCAAACTTGAAATTTGGAATAGACTCCATGAACATGCGACGAAGGTAGCCTCTGTATGGGGCCACCCCTGTACCAGTGGCTATCATAATGTGGGTGGCATTTGGGTCGTCCTCAGGCAAAAGCATTATCTTACCAGAAGGCCCTATAATGAAATTCAAAAGTAGTCAGAAAGCCTGTTTGGATCACCATCAACCACTTATTGATGAGAAGGAGAAGAAGTTCAATTAGAGATGATCCTAGTCATATATTATAATACCTTTAGATCCCCAAAAACTAAACTGTAGAGCATAATTTCTCAGAGGCTAACTTTCATATAGCTGCTAACATCCTGAGGAGAATGCTTTGTGATTTGTAAGATAAGAATGACATCTGGAATTATCCAGGAATTTAGATCTATTGCTGACCTGGGGTGCCAATATTTTGAGGTCTGACTGGACTACCTCTAACTGAAGACTTACCACTTACAAAGATTCTAAAAATAATGGCAACTGATTCATGGGAAATTGTACTCATTTGTAAACAATATTATATACACGATACCTATGGTGCACTCATTTACTAGGGATTATGACCACATGTTGTGGAGACAACTGGTTCCAAGGGATTGGGACCCACAATTTAATTCGTCTTTCTTCCAGAGCACCTAAAATTTAATAAAGCACATTTGGGACCATTTGATGAATAGGCATTTGTGAGAAAATCAACCTTTTTCACTCTTTTTTCTATTTCCTTATCATACAAAGGAATGCAATAGATGCACCAACAGAAAACCAGTAAAGCCATGATTAAGAATTCTAACAATACAGTCATTCATTTTAACATTTCAATCTAGAGATAATAAGATTTTTACCTGTGATCCGAATTTTGTCTCCTGGTTTTGAGTTGCAAAGAAAATTGCTACAGACACCAGCCTTTGAAGGATCTTCCTTTCCAGTTTCAGGGTCATAATAAACAGCACGGCGAACGCATAAACTGGTTGTTTTGCCATCAAATGAGTCACCATACCTAGAAGATGCTATTGAGTAAAGGCGGACATTATGAGGGGTTCCTGGTTTTTTTGGGTTTTCACCCTGCAACAAATAAGAAAATTTAACAGCTGAATAATAATTTACATGTTCATTGCCATTGAATGAATCATATTCTAAAATGTCATGGAAAACTGAAAACAAAAAACTAGCTTCTCCATTTGTACCTTCACGTCATTCTCCTATACTGGGGCAAACTCACCATCAGCTCCCCACTATACTAGCTCAAAAATAAGCTTGATTAAATATTACTAAACATTTTATATATCAAATTCCCCTCGCCCCCCCCCCCCCAAAAAAAAAAAAAAAAAAATCTTATATCAATTTCTATCTTAAGATAATAGGTCCAGAATAAATTAATACAGCAGAAGACTTTACCCAATCAGTGGGGGACTGAGTAAAATGAATATTGAACCCAAGTAATCCCTCCATCATAAAGGTTATAAGTAAGAAAAGCATCTCTATTTCCAAGCAGAAAAACTCAAATACTTAAAAGAGCTGGAATCATCTTTCAATAATATAGCCATGAGTAATTTATCCAAAAATAATAATAATAATAATAATAATACAGCCATAAGTAATTATAAAAAAAAATGCAACTCAGTCATTCTCCATTGCCAAGCAGGTCTATGGAGAAGGTAAGTTAAGAAACTCAAATACTTAAAGAGATCAAATTTTTTTTGATAAATAACTGAACATTTCATTCAAGAAAAAGAAACCATGCTGCTCACTTATAATGGCAGCAGGCTTAATTGTACAACAGACAGAGCCTCAACACAACAATAGAAACAGACTTTGACACATTACAACACAGCCCTGAGCAACCCCATTCAAGTACTTCCCTCCCCACCCCAGCTCGTGGCAACATATTTACACTTTTAGAAGGCCCATTTGAATGAGCCATTCAACAGGGAACCTAGGGAATTAGCCAATTTCACCATCGGCCTAAACTCTCATAGGGTCTGCTCTTGATCCTTCACCTAACAAGTGACAGTTCCGCAATCTCCTTCCACTTCCACCATCCCTCAATCCCATCTGCTGCAACAATTTTAATCCCTGAAAAAGAGCTAACAATTCAATTCTAGGGATTTACCCAGGGCTTTTGGGCCGGAGAAACTCATGACTATAGTGCCACTACGATCCCTTACCACACCCCCACTCCATATGTCCCTAGATTTCCAAGGCAGCAGCCATCAAAGTTTAACTTGATCATCCCTCTTTCTGGGGGACTCCATTCCATCACCATTTCTGTTTGCTCATTTGGAAGCATGCTACAGTTTGCCATTCCCTTAGAATACCATATAGACACACCCCTTTAAACTCCTCCGTTACCAAAGCCCAATGTGCAATCCTTGTAAGTTCTTTCAGCTCCTCCACCTGCATATATTTCTCCTAAACAATTATTACATTTCTTTCATACCACAGCCCCCAAAAACTGCCTTCCACAGGCCCACACACATTGCCAAAGGATCTTTTGCCTCTGAGTAGAAAACCCCATTACATCTGTTTCAAACAAATCCAAAACTTCACTTGGTGGCATCTAGGGCTGTATTCAGATCGGATTCAGCAAAATCTGAATCCGGTCCAATTACTGAAAACTTACATCTGAATCCGATCCGAAATCCAATCAGATTTGAAAACCTCAGATTCAAATTCAAATCCTAACAGACTCGGATCTTTAAATTTTTAAAATACAAAAAAAAAATTAAAAATCTAGTTACTTTTCAGCTTTTTTATATAAAAAATAAATGTAAATATAACATAATGAACTTATTATATATAATTATAAATTCATATATAATTTTAAATATAATTATAAAAATGTATATATTAAAATCAATAAATATTATAATTGGATTCGGATTTTAATCGGATCAGATGAAGTCATATCTGAATCCGATCCAATTACATAAATACACCATCTGAATCTGAGATAATCGGATCGGGCCACGGATTTTTGGGCATCATTAACAGACCTAGTGGCATCCAATATCTTTCCACCAAAGAGTAAATTTGTTGCCACAACTCAGAAGCATAGAAACAATATACCAACACGTGGTTGGTGCAAGTAGTTAAGGCTCAATTTGAAGGAGTACAAATATAAATATGTACTGTGCAAATACATAGAAAATAATACAAAATACAAGGTTTTGCACTCTACAAATTTGTATTTGTACTCCTTCCAAACTGAGCCTAAAAAGAAATGCAATTTAGTTCATTTTATATGTCAGAGTGAAGGAAATACAAAAAGCAAGTAGCTATTTCTTAACTCCACCAGAGGTAATATCAAGATGGTTCTTATAACACGTTTTGTAAGGAAAAAAAAATACTTACCGGAGGAATGACACCATAACTTTGTCCTTCCCAGTAGGGTACATTGCCACCATGATCAATTACAATATGACAAGTCTCTCCAGGAGCCTTTGGGCCTACAATCCTTTCCACAGAAACAATGGTTGCTGTGTGAGGTTCCTTGGGCTTGTATATATTGAGAGGAGGTTCCTTGGCACCCTCAAGTTGTAAGGGTGAAACTGCAACTTTAGATGGAGTGACTTGTTTTACTGACATGCATAGTTTGTATTCGCTTGTCGATCGTGGGTTATTGATTTTCAAATCCGAAGATAAGACCGACACCCATGGTTTATCCTGAAATTTTAAATTATATGTCTGCAAACAAGGAAATATAAAACAGTGATTGCGATTGCCAATGCATCATAACCAACTTACAGCATGAAATAGTTGCAGATACTCTAATTGTTTATCAGTCAAATGTGAAATTTTCTTAGTAAGAAATATGTAATTCCAGTTACATATTACACGAGAAATTATCTAAAAAATTACTAAAACATAAATAAAGTAGAATTTACAACCATAAATAGATGTTCAACAGAATTATTTACAAAAGTCAAGGCAAATCTAATAATCAACAAAGAGGTGCTGAAGAGGATAGAATTAGAGACATGTGGGTTAAGTAGAGATAATGCATTCTGAATTCTATGTGATTGCTAACATCAATCTAAATAGGGTAAGAAAATCTACAAGACAACCATAATAGCAACTGATCTTTATGGAAATGCTGGGCAATCAATTAACAGAAAAGTTTTAGAATGAGTGCAGTTGATATAAGCATGTTGAGATGGATTACTGACAAGCTTAACAAAGAAAACATCATAAAAAGCATGTGTTTAAGAGAATTAGAAGTACAATTGTTTAGCAACATAGAATGAAACCAATGGTGAAAGAAGTAAGAGTTAAATTTTAGGCTTCGAAAAGTTAAGGGGACAGCAGTAAAGGACGTAAATGGATTCTTGGTCATGAGGACAATGATTATGATAACTTGAAGAACAGTGCCTTCTCTTTTAGTTGCCTCAGACACTTGGAAGAAATGAATCCTCAGAATTGGTGCCTGAAAGAATATTTAGTAAACTGGATGATCCCTGTAGACCAAGGTTCAAAATATCGATACAGGGTAATACACCGGTAGGTCATATCGGCCTGTATCGGTACTGTTTTTTTTTAATTTTTTTTTTCGAATCTGGTTCAGAGGGGCCAGTCTAAGGCTGGTCTACCCCCTGAACCACTCCCGACCCGAAACACCCCCTCCAGGGGCATATCGGGAAGGCTCCAATATGATACATATCGGCCGATACGGGCCAACACATGACGATATTTTGAACCTTGCTGTATACTAGTGAAAGGAGAAATTGGAAGCTAAATAAACTGAACAAAAATAAATAAATAAATAAGGCTTGATTGGATTCTTGTAAGCCTGTGGACTATATAGATTTTTTCTTTTCTTTCAGAAGCAAACAACAGGCTGGATTGAACAGTTCATCATATTCTTTTTACTGTCCAGCAGAAAGCAGTAGACTGGATGTTAACAGTAACATGTCAGTGTCATTTTGGAAGGCTTATTAATTGGATGTCTGAAACCAATCCATCAATGCTGTAATGCACATAACAACCTGCATATGTGCCACTAGTAAAGCTATATCTTTTGGAGGATAGCATGCTCATAATAAGGTATTTTCCACCACAAGCCTTTAAATTTGACCACTTTCTTATTTTCCTCACCCATGCCAGGTCTATACTCCAACATAGAAGTAAGAAGGCTTTTTCCGCAGAATATAGACCTATAAATTTGGTGGGTAGCAAGAGGATGAGGTGGCATACAAGTGGACTACTTTGATCAACCAGCTTCAACACCACCTCTGTCAATAACAGACACTGGAGAGCATTTTTCATGGCCTTGGTTGTGCATAAAATATGAAATAAACAAGGTTCCCCAAAATAATGCCTATTTTCTGGCAAGTGACTTGCACACAATATGCAGAAGTCAAAAAGTCCCAAAATTGACTATTTAGCTCCTGCATCAACTCCAATTCATAGTTTACTATCATATTAAGCTCTCTTTCATGGAAGGCTTTGTAAATTGTATAAAAAGATCTATATGACTATGATTCTCTTTCTTCATAGGAACTGTATCTGTCATGAAGACTTCTCTAAATAGATCAATTGACATATACACATATATAAGTTTCCAATGTGATAAACTGCCCAGGACAGACAAAGATACAGATTCAACAATGACAAATTAAATATAATTAAGAGCTTATTAGCTGCAGAATTAACCAAACAGTTATTCATAGTTACTGGATTAAATTAAATCAGATAAAGAAACAAAGAGTTAACTTCGGGGTTTCTGGAGGTTGAGCTACCCTCTAAAAAAAATAAATAAAAAATAAATTTACCTTTTAGGCTCAGTTTGGAAAGAGTACAAATACAAATATGTACAGTACAAATACATACAAAATAATACCAAACGCAAGGTTTTGCACTCTACATATTTGTATTTGTACTCCTTCCAAACTGAGCCTTAGGCTGTGTTTGGATGCAATGCAAATTTATTTGCACTAGTACAAATGCATGGGAGTGCAAATGTACTGCAATCAAACAAAATAAACTAAATTTTGAAACAAAAATAGGTCAGAATTTACACTCAAATCATTTGCACTGCCATGGTTCTGCACCAGTGCAAATTTATTTGCATTGCAACCGAACACAGCTTTAGGAGAAACTGAACTCCCATTAACCAGCAGTGCAACTTGAATTGCACAATATCAACTTAAAGTCAAAGGATGCAAATAAAGCTCTTATCTTACCGATTTGTAATCAAAATACAGACATACTCCAAAAGATTTTTACTTTTTAGGAGCAATTGAACACTCGTTAACCAGCAGATATTGTCAAAATCTAAACAGTATAATATCAACTTGGAAGTCAAAGGATGCAAACAAAGCTCTCATCTTTCCGATTTACAATCAAAATACAACATCCTCTAAACTCCAAAGTGACTAAGTACCTTAAAGATCGATCTCCTTAGAGAAGAATCGTTTGCAACTGGAACAGTCACAGAAGCCTGCAATAAAACTCACTTCATTAACTACGAGAAATCTCTCCCAGCAATTCAAACCAAAATCACATAATTCCTTCAAACAAATGTCGGAACCAAGCCAGTGATAAGGTACATGAAGAGCAACTCAGATCCATTACAAATTTGAAGTCACAAACAACAGAGGTTTCTTCAAAAAATGAGTATAAGCCCAAGAGCAACCTAGAAAAAATCGATTAGAGATTAAACGTACCTGGGTTACAATTGAATGTGCCATGATCGGATCGAAGAGCTACGGAGCTCAAAACAAATCAAAGCTTGGGCTTTCTGGAAAGAACATAAACGAGGGAGCTCGTCTCCTAGAGAAGGAATTGAAAAAAGAGAAATCTAGGGTTTTTATAGGGTCTGTAAATGCAGAACTAAGAAGAAAGAAGCTCTGATTCCGTAATCCTTTCGGGAGAGGCAAAGGACAGTTTTGGCTCCTCGACCTGCTTCACTGCTCATAATTTATTTTCAGAAATTAAATAACCTCAAACTTTCTGAAAMTTACTAAAAGAACCTCGTTTCTTCAAGTTCAGAACACATATGAACAATGGCATCTTGGAACCCCAAAAAGAAAATTATTATTAAAATATTAATACTATACAAGACCCCTGTAACGACGGAAAGGCCAAGAAAGATGATTGGGGTTAGAGACTATTCGGAAAAGTGTATATAATGGTTGTCACAATAAAAAAGTACATCTAGTCCTAATATTGTAGGCTTCAAAAAAAATCCTAATATTATGGATTCTTATGGGAGTCCTAATATAAGGGTTTTCTTATGTTAATATAATATATTCTGGGTTAGGGTGTTCAAAATTAGCGATGGCAATTTCGCGGGAGTTTTCGGGTATCGGATGCGTTCAAATGTTAGGACCCATTTGTCAAAACCCGGTTTGGGTTTTGACTAGGATATCTTACATCTCTTATTCTTTTTTTTTTGGTACTGTTATATCTCATATTCAGGCACTCGTTTCGGATACCTCATAAAACCCCATTCAAATTATATATAGAAATAAAATATGTGGAATAATATAATAAATAGTATACCATAATTTATAATATATAATATAATATATTAAGAAAAATTAATTAAGTAGAAGCTAGAAGCAGTCTTATGGCCTATGACATTCCTAATTGGTTAATTTACAGGTTGAAAGAATGGTAAGATCCATCATATGGACGCCAAAAAGGGTGCGGAATGGGTGGGCGAATTTCAAAAATTTCTTACCTTTCTTCCAACTAGGAATCATATTCCTTAAATTTAGAATATAGTATTCAAGGATCTGACATGAATCAAAACCGAACCAGATCTGAACCAAAAGACAAGGGAAGGGATATACCTGATCCGGAGAAACATTATCTCCCAATGTCGGTGTTCACACCCAAAGAAACTTCCAAGAACCGCTCCCACTGAAGATGATACAATGATGATGGAGCAGAACAAGCAGTGTTCGTCCCACGAACCAAGCCCTTCTGAAGAACTCGATGGAAGCAATGAGCACTACACACGATCAGTCTTTCAGCAAAGACTGATATCAAGATGCTTTCTTGATCTTTTCCCTCACAGAGATATCGAACTGGTAGTAGATGGCGGCGGCTGCTGGAGGAGAAGACTAGAGAAGAAGGTAGCGAACTGCTTTCTCCTCTCTAGGGTTTCTTTGAGATCCAATCTCTAGTTGCAGAGTATTCTCTRCGAATTCCCTTAAGGTTCGAATTCTTGTAATCCGAATTAGGGTTTCTCCTCTTTCTTTCTTAGTGATTAAGAAACCTCCTAATCCCATTAGGAGTTATCCTAATCCAAATCTGTATTTGGATAAGGAGTCTTCTTAATCCTATCTGCAGATTAGATCAGCCCACTCCTGATCTTATYARRAGGTTACCAKATTCAAATCCTAATTTGAATTTGGTCTCCATGAGTGCATAGGGTTAAGACCCAATCCTTTTGGCTTGACCTAATCTCAGATCTGCCCCTTTAAGTGACTGATCATATCAGCCCAGTTCGAAATGGGCTTTAGGCCCAATATGTATCAAGTGTTCAATAGACTTCCAAACTGTTGCCAAGTTGGGCTTCTTTGTATGGTGTGGGACCCAAGCATTGATATACACATCAGCCACATGGGTTCGGCCCAGACTCTGTTATAAGGCCTAGACGAATTCACTGGAAAACCCAGTGAACCCCTTGAGTCCATCACAAGGACTCTATGGGCCCAACACTTACACTAAGTGGTCCCTAAGCCAAGCCATTTTATAAAAACCCAGGGACTGTGGGCCGATGCAAGATTAGCCCAATAGGTATAATCCTAAATGGCCTTACACTTAACCTCTTCAGCCCATAATGATCAAACACTGCCTGACAAGAGAGGACCTCTCCCTCGGCTGCAAGGAACAGTGCTGCACTCTTTGCTCACATGGATACCGGGAATTAAAACCATTTGCAAACATTTTGAATATATATATATATCTTATATATAAATTTTGCAAAACAAAATTCCAACGATTGAAATCAACTGCATGCAGTTTGGTTTTCATCAGAGAGAGTGCATCCCCGATCATTACCTTTGTCCGACAAATGGGCTGATCCTATCACTATGATCACCCACTCAAATGAATTCTTAGGTTGTCCCAACATACCCAGGTTTTGACCCCGCTAAGGATCTCACTAATTGGCATATCAAAGACTGCCCAATCCGACACCTAGTGCAGTATCATAATCGAGTCTAAGGGTCAGGTGTAATTTTCTAGTTTTGCCCATCAATCTCCAAGGTCCAGGGCAATACTGGAAATCTGGTCCAGTTCAAAGATTCAAGTAATCCTACACTGCATGCGCCTTGGGTCTCACCCTGGCGGCTGAGACAGACCACCCCAACATTTGGCAGCACACCAGTGTCAGCCTTGGCAGGATAAATCTCCCCAGAATTATCCAACGGCTGTGAACATTCTAAACTAACACGAGTCTCATTAAGTGTCGAGTTTAAGGGTCTTACACAGAAACATACCACACAACATGAATCAAACATGCACTTTATTCATTTACACTAAATGTCTAAAGTACATCAAAAGTGATTGGAACTAAGGGCATACAAAACTATCTAACAGATCCCCACTTGCACTTAGGTCCAATCTGGTACAAGCCGGAGTCCCATGCTTTCCACGTGTTTCTCAAACACATTCTGTGTGAGTGGCTTAGTCAATCTCTCGCAGTACATGATACTTCCTTTCGATGTGCTTTGACTTCGAGTGGGATCGAAGCTCCTTAGCCTGGGCGATCGCTCCATTGTTGCCATACAACAACGGGATGGGTGATGTGCTGGACGGAACCACTCCTAATTCGTGAATGAACTTTTCATCCACACGGCTTCTTTGGCAGCTTCACTTGCGACAATGTACTCGGCTTTGGTCATAGAATCTGCCGTGGACCCCAGTTTACTGCTTTTCTAGCAAACAGCACACGATCCTATCGTGAAAACATACCTAGATGTAGACTTTCTATCATCTGGATCCGACTGGAAATCGACATCAGTATACCCTTGAATTTGTAGTGAACTACCTTCGAAGGTATTTGAGTATGTTTTTCACAGCAGTCCAATGCTCCTGCCCTGGGTTGGCCTAGAACCTGCTTACCACACTCACCGCCTGAGAAATGTCGGGGCGAGTACACAGCATGGCATACATGAWGCTCCCTACGGCTGAAGCATAGGGAACGTCTTTCAAGCCCTCAATCTCCTCAGAAGTCTTGGGAGACATCTTCTTGGAGATAGTGATTCCATGCCTGAAAGGAACGTTTCCTTTCTTGGAGTTCTCCATTCTGTACCTTTTGACAATTTTGTCAATGTAAGCAACTTGGGATAATCCTATTATCCGCTTCGATCTATCTCTATAGAGTCGAAGACCCAGTATATAGGAGGCTTCTCCAAGATCTTTCATGGAGAATTGCTGCGAAAGCCACACCTTGACTGAAGTCAACATTCCTACATCATTCCCAATGAGTAGGATATTGTCCACATACAACACCAAGAAGGTGACCTTATCTCCACTAGACTTCCTATAAACACAAGGCTCATCCGGATTCTGCTCAAAGTCAAACGATTTGACGACAGAGTCAAAATGGATGTTCCAACTCCTAGAAGCTTGCTTAAGTCCATATATGGATCTATTAAGTTTACATACCATGTGTTCCTGACCAGCAGCAATGAAGCCTTGCGACTGCTGCATGTAGATATCTTTACTGAGATCTCCATTCAGGAACGCGATTTTGACATCCATCTACCAAATCTCGTAGTCATGGTATGTTGCTACAACTAGCAGGATCCTAATGGATTTAAGCATGGCCACAGGTGAAAAGGTTTCCTCATAGTTGATGCCCTCTTATAGATCCATTTGCAACCAATTGCTTTTACCCCGAAGGGCGGATCTACTAGAGTTCAGACTTCATTGGCCTCCATCGAGTCCATCTCGACTCTCATGGCCTCCACCCACTTCTGGGAATCTATGTCCAACATAGCTTCTGCATAAGTCACGGGACCCTCCTCACTAGTCATGGCTTTCACCAGATAACTATCTTGGTCATAACCATAACGGACTGGTGGCCTGGATACCCGGGTGGATCTTCTAGGTTGGTCACTACCTGGAACTTGTAGGACATCTCCCACTGCTCATGAGCTCTCCTCATCAAGAACTATTTCCTAACGATGGGTGTCTAGGATGTAATCAGTCTCTAAGAACTGGGCACTTCGACTGCAGAACACTTTCTGCTCACTTGGGTCATAGAATAGATAACCCACCGAATCCTTTGTATAGCCTACAAATAGGCAACGACTAGTCTTGGATTCCAACTTGTCTACACTCGTTCTTTTAACGTGCGTAGGACAACCCCAAATCTTCAAGTGTTTGACACTTGGTCTTTTTCCGGTCCAAAGTTTATATGGAGTTTTCAGAACCGATTTCGTTGGAACCCAATTCAGCACGTAGATAGCAGTCTCTAATGCATATCCCAAAAGAATGTGGGTAATTCTGAGCATGTGAGAAGTGACCGGACCATGTCTAACAAGGTCCTATTCCTCCTCTCTGAAACACCGTTATGTTGTGGTGTAGCAGGAGGAGCTAACTGTGATATTATCCCATTGGCCTTCGAGTAGTCCCTGAATTCGTCAGAGAGATACTCGCCACCTCGATCCGATCGAAGGGCCTTAATTTCTCTCCCTAACTGTTTCTCGACGTCTAATTTGAACTCTTTGAACTTTTCAAAGGATTGAACTTATGTCTCATTAGGTACACGTAACCATACCAAGAATAATCATCGGTAAAGGTGATGAAATACGCGTGTTGGTTACGAGTCCTAACACTCAGGGGACCACATACATCAGTATGTATAAGGTCAAGCATGCCTATACATCTTTTAGGCTTACCGTTAAATGGCCGTTTTGTCATCTTACCTCGGAGGCAAGGCTCACAAGTGGGAAGATCTTCTACGGTTAGAAAATCCAAAGGACCATCCTTTACCAGCCTTGTGATTTGGTCAATACCGATATAGCCAAGTTGG